TTTGTTCTAAAGATGTAATGTGTACATAAGTACACCTTTTGTAATGTATTTGACATGTATGACATGAGGCCAAGGGCCAAGCATGTTTATTATTGCACTTGTACTCATTTGGCGCTAGATTTTGTCTAAAAATGTAATTTTCCTACCTTTGAAAGTTTGGCATGTCAAATTCTGTAAATGAATTGTAATAAGGCCATGGGCCATTATAGCACATCAAAAATGTCATTTCACATATACGTGTATGCTCACAATAGCACACAAGTGCACGGTTTTGTAACGACCCGAATTTTTTTCAACCCGGTGCATTAATGGTAACCCAAATGTAAATCCAATGATGAATCAGACAGTGGATGCAAAAGGTAAATCAATGGTCTCTAGGGATACTACGTGTCTACAAGACATAATTGTGACCCTCATTGAGGTCACGAAACCCAAAGAAAATAATTGCAGAAACGACGTTTTAAAGACGGACATAAATGAGCCTAGGGGTAAAACAATCTTTTCCAATATGGAAGTGGGTACTACCAATCATACCATTGGAAAGACAACAAAAAAATAAATCAAATGGACTCAAGAATCACCTGATTCGGAGTCCGGGCGAAAAAGATATGAATTTAAGAATAAACGGCATTCTCTGATTTAAAGCTACCATGACCCTATCTCACTAAAACGGTCATAACTCTCACCACGGTTGGAGTTTTTGAGTGTGCTTCATACCATTGGAAATCTAACTTGAAGTTCTTGAGGTTAAGCTCAAGAATGACCTAATTTGGATTAGAAATAAAGAAGATATGACCCTCTAAAGTTGCCCCAAGAATTCTGTCCAATATGCTAAAAGTAAACAATGCTTCAGGGAGGATCAGTCGGCTGAACCCCCAGCATCAGCAAACCAAAACTCAATGGTCAGCCAGCCGAACCCCAATCATCAGTAGGCTAAAACTTTAATTTTCACAAAAATGGCTACTGGAATGGTGTGAGACAATCATCAGCCGACTGATGATTGCCATCAGCCGACTGGTGGGCTTAGCAGCAACAGAAAAAGCTGTTGTAACCTGCTGTGATCCATGGGAAAGATGCTTAGATTGGTTCTAAGGCTATGCATGCTTCCTAAATGATCCAAACAAGTCTCAAAACACTTCCTGGTCTCATGCAAGCATCTAAAACATGCTAAATCAGAACGAAGCTTTGAATGCTACCTCAATGCATGCATTTTTGCTTAAATTTGCATAATTCATCCATAAATAGTTCAAAAGTTGAAATATAAGAGTTTTGTGGATTTTAAACATGCACACATACGTAAAATGATAATGTGGATGCGTTACAATGGCCTACAGTCTCATTAGATGTCATATGCAAGATATGACCCTTCAATGCATGAAGTTCCTTATATACCACATACAAGCTATGAAAATAAAGTTGCATACATGGCATAAAAGTATCTTTGGCCCTTGGCCTCATTACAATACACATCTAAAGAGTAACAAAAGGTGCACTTAAATACACATTACATAGCTTAGACAACAAATACAAGTTTTTATACAATACACCAAAAAGATCATGATATGCTAACAAGTGCATATTCAATGTTACCAAAAATACTTTAAGATTTCTAGTAAGTCTAAGAATGTTGTGACTGCCGCACTAAAGCTTCTTTACCTACAAAACACCCAGAAACTTCAGGGTGAATAAACAAGTTTATTCGTAGTGAATGAGCATGCATATGATTGACTTATTACAAGTTTGCAATTTAATAGTGTTTAGTTCATGCTATTAAAATGACATTGAGACTTTTAACATAGCACATTGAAATGCAATATCATAAGATTACCAAGTTTAGGGATTAAGGAGTGAAATCAAACTAAGGTGAATACTTGGATATCGCCTGAACTAAAACTGTACTCTTGAGATCACTTCAGGGCTATTAACCCATGGGTACCTTTCCCCTAGTGCGCACTATAGTTTAGGGAGCTCTCTATCTCCCGTACTAGAACCAATTCCTAGCCATGTCAAGTTCTTGATGATTTCCCAAGTTTCCAAAATCAACAAGTAGAGCAGCAAGTCATAATATGTGATAAAACACAATAAGTTCCATGAATTACAAGACTAATCACAAGATCAACATCATAGAAATTGAGTAGATCAACGAGGTAATTTCTCTAGATTTCAAGAGTTGTCCAAATGATTCCCATTAAATCTATAGCAAGGAATAAGTCATGGTCATGCTATATTTCAAGTATAAAATGGAATTCAAACATGGCATAATTAAGTAGTATTTAAATCAATTTATACTAATTAATTCTCTAGATTTAAAAGCTTATTTAAATCATGTCAAATTAATATACAACAAGGTTCAAGTCATGATCATACCATATATAAGGTCTAGAGTGAATTATATGCAAGCTACAATTAAATCATCAATTTCTCAAATTAGTATTAGACATGCATACAATTTATACATCACTATATGGACAATGATTTACTTGAATAATAAATTAGAACACCCCCTACCTCACAAGAGGATTGTCCCTCTTGAATCCAACGAAAGTAAAGAAATTTCAAGTTTTCCTTCTAGGGTTATGAAGAGAAAGATGAGGTAAGGCTTTTGTATTCCAAGCTCAAGGGTCTAAGACAAGTGGAAGGGCACCAAAATGAAGCTTTAAACCTTGAATCAAGCTTTGCTCCAATGGTGGTCAAGTTAGGGTTTGAGAGGAAAAGATGAAAAATGAATAAAATGAAATCAAACCCTAAGTTAAAGGTGGTGGGATTCTCCACTCACTAGGTGCTCTTGCACTACCTCTCTCACACACGTGTAAGACTTAATCTTGTGCTTACACTTGTCATGAATCTAAGGCTCCTTCCTACACTAAATCCCTAGCCTACACTTGTCATGAATCTAAGCCAACATGTGTTCCACTCTTAGGCCAACAAATGGGTGAATCTCCACCCTCATATGTCATCAAACCTAGCCTCCAAGTGGTTTCACAACCAAGCCAACAAGTGGCACCATGAGAGTGTGACACTTGTCACATTTTTCGAAAATTGCAAAAAGGTCATTTTTGAAAATATCTTCCAAATTAAATTGCAAGTTGGTCCCCAAGATAAAAAATAATTACTTTACTTAATTACACAAAACCCCTCAAGTTATGAATATTACTAAAAAGTCACGCATTCATGCCCTTTACAAGAAAAGTAAACATTTAACATGATTTTATGTTTAGGTGTTGATTTGAGACTTCAAGTTTAGTCTTTAGCTGCACCTAATAAGCTCCATCCTCTTATTAGGTCTTGTTGGAGAATTTTATTATAAATTTATTGTGGTGGGAAAATCAAGAGGTGATAGAACCCTTAATTTGTCTTCATCACCATCAAAGAGTCTTCATCCTTTGATTCGATCTTATAACCACTATGGTTTCAATAATTCTCTCTTTGAAATTTTTTTTTTAAAAAAAAAAAAAAAAAAACCATGAAATCCACCCGGCCTGTCCAAAATATTCGGATCGAGTTATGGACATAACCCATTTTTGGTACAATTCGGACTGGCTCAACCCAACCCGATTTCGACTTGAGGTTGGATTGGGACTGAGCTAGGTTGGGCCAGCCCGAAGCCTACTAACATCTTCAAAAATCACTATTTTTTGAAAAAAAAAAAAAAAAAAAAAAAATGGTTAAACCAATTTGGTCACTTCTAAAGTTTATTTTGCTACTGGAAAACTCATTTTACCGACACTAACAAAATCTTAAAAATAGTACCAAAAAATGGAATTTTGGCATAATCGAGCTGGACATGTCGATCCATAGACATGATCTTGGTATCACCGTTATTTTATATATTTAATAATATATATATATATCAATCATTCTGCACATAGATTTGTAAGTGATCATGCATGTGTTGAAGATATTGTTGTGAGCTGAATTGATTTGAACATTATCAACCTACTTATACAAAATTGGTTTAAAAGACTATACTAGTGATCAAAGTGCCGCTAAAGAGCTAACTATAGATTTTGGGGTTTTGAGCGGTTAACCTAGTTGTAAAATCTTTTCTTTTTTCGAATCCCTAACCTCTCTTTGAAAAGTAAGAACTTGGTACCGCTAGGTTACTAGACTGTTGATTTTTATAATCTTTTTCATACAATGAATTTAATTTAACTAGATTAAGTCTTATGATTTTTACTTTTTTATGGCACGATGATTGATAGATTTTTGTTATATTGTTCTAATCCAAGTTAGATTTTTGGTTTACTGCTTAAAAAAAAAAAAAAAAAAATTTATTCCATAAAATTTTCAGTTCGAGTTAAGTATATTGCGTGTGTAACAAGAATAATTGTCCATTATTTAGAGTCGTACTACACATAACTACACACAATAATTGACCATAAAACACGGGTGTAGAATGTGGCCCTACTAATCAAGAATGTGATAAAAAGGGATAAACTGGATGATGTCAAAGCACATTGATACACAAGCAATTAACCACACCATTCAATGATGTGACTCTTTGGTATATAGACACAAGAAATCATTTCTAGGGTTTGAGAATGTGTTTTCTCAAGCACCAAGAGGCCATTTATTTGGTTTACTGCTAAAAAAAAAATTATCCTATAAAATTTTCAGTCCGAGTTAAGTATATTACACGTGTAACAAGAATAATTGTCCATCATTTAGAATCATAACACATGATAATTAACCATGAGATACTAGCGTAGACCCATCATAACAGTATGCACTCATGTTTCTTAGTCAATTATCGCGTGTAATTTATCAAGTTCGGAAGTTTTCAATCCTTTAATGATGATGTCACTATTCAGTGTGGTGCTACTAATCAAGAATGTGGTAAAAAGGGTAAACTGGATGATGTCAAAGCACATTAATGCACAAGCAATTACCCACACCGTTAAATGATGGACTCTTTCGTATACAGACACAAGAAATCATTTCTAGGGTTTGATATATGCCTTGGAAGTCCACCACAAATTGAAAAAATAAGATAGAAGAAAGGTGGATAAAGTTGCCATAGAATTCATAGAATCATAAGAAAATTATACACATATGAAGGGGTAAAATGAAGGAAGAAAGAGGAAAGAAGAAAATTAACACCAATATGTATAATTGTGTGTATATATATATATATATAAGAAATAAAAATTAAAAAGAAGGATTGCACCCTTTACAACATTGAAATCAACATAATGTTTGATTTACAGAAACACGCATGCCCTTGTCTTCCGTCGCCTTTTCTTCGGTTTAGGAGGCTGCAGAACAACCTTGATTGCAGCATCAAACACAGCCTTCACATTCTGAAAAATCGCAAAGGAAAAAAAAAAGAAAAAAGAAAATGAGGCTCAATTAAATTTATTAAATTCACCATTAAAGATTTTCTTTACAAATTACTTTCTTTCTAAGAAACTTTGTGAAAAGTTTGAAGTTTTGAAGTTTAAAACAATATTTTAATTTATTTGCATGCCTGAGAGATATCCTTCTCTTCCACTTTTTTATTATTTTATTATTTATTATTATTATTATTATTTTTTTCAAACAAATGCATTGCTATTAATATTTGTCATCTTACCCACTCTCTTCAAGTCTTAGTAAAGAAAAGAATATTCATAGAATTTAGTTATAAAAATTAGAATATTAGATGTAAACATTATATTATAAACACAAGTGACACAAGATATTGATTATAACCTGTTGAGTCTTTGAGCTGCACTCTATGTAAACAGCAGCACCAATCAACTTCTTCAGCTCCTCACCCTGCCCAATATTATCTTAGTCAATACAACTCATTATGAGAATAACAAGAACACACACACTAATACACACAACTATATATATAGTTTTCATGTACTAAATACATGGTTCATTTGCTAGCTGTGTCAAATTAATTTGACTTGCCTGGGCAGTAGTTATTGGGGTTGCACCAGGGTGATTGCTCAAAAATTGCTTATCTTCGCGTAAATCTGCAAAAAATTACATAATCAAGATGCATGAAAGTAGTCGAGAAAGTTATATCGAGTAGAAAACAAAACTTGTTTAGCTAACAGTTTGTTTTCTAATTGAAAAGGGTCTAGAACAGTCACTAACTTTAGCTTGTAATTTTCTGAAAACAGAACTGTTTTATGAATTTTAAAGAATTATTTTCAGAAAACTGAACGAAGCGAATTCAAATTATCTTACCTAGTTTGGTCCCGACTAGCACGACCGGCACAGTGGGAGCATAATGCCTTAGCTCTGCAATCCACTATGGCCAATTCAACAGTTTAGGTAAGAAACCAGAAATTAAAAAAATATGAATCCAACACAAAAATAAATGTTTAGAGAAATAAAAAAATAAAATAAAATAAAAATAATATATATATATATATATATAACCATTGTGCTTTGTTTAACCACCTTCTTTGAGATATTCTCATAGCTGGCTTTGCTAATGAGAGAGAAGGCCAACAAGAAAACATCTGCTCCTCTGTAACTTAGAGGCCTCAACCTGTTATAATCCTCCTGTCCTGAAAATACATTTCACCAAACTATATTGAGTACTTGGGTGTTATATTGCAATTAATAACTAAAATTAATTTGTTACCTAAGCACAATTATAAATCTTTATTTCTTTTACTGTATGTATCACTATTCAAATTATAAGCTTAAAGAGCGTTGTGATGATGAACTTTGAGTACTGTTTGGTCAATCAATTACCTTGTGGTGATGAGCTTTGAGTATTGTTTGATCAATCAATTACGTTTAATAATACAACTTGAATATCACTTAAAGTAAGTACGTCATACTTTAAACGTTAAATAGTATAAAATTTTAAGTCACTATAATTCTTATCATTTTGAAAACTGGCCAGTTAAATATTCAAAATGATATAAAAAAATCTCATTTTTTAATTTCCACTTAAAAACTTCAAAATTTCTTTTTTTTTTTACTCTATAACGCAAATAAACTCGTCAATCGCGATTATCACGGCCATGGGTATCATTTTTCTAGCATAAAAAAAAAATTAAAAAAAGTAAAAAATACTCTAAAAAAGAAGATGACATATACTCTGTCCACACCTGCAGTATCCCAAAGCCCAAGGTTAACTGTACTGCCATCGACCACCACATTAGCACTGAAGTTGTCAAACACCGTAGGCACATAATCCTACCAAAAAAAAAAAAAAAAAAACACACACACACATACACAGTTACGCACACACAAATAAAGACATCATAATTAAATTAATATAGCATTGATAAATTTCACTAATCACACAAATAGAGATTGAATATACAATATATATATATACACACACACACACATATATATCATACCGTGGGAAAGGTGTTGCTAGTGTAGGAGATGAGCATGCATGTCTTGCCAACTGCTCCATCCCCAATAGTGACACACTTGATGAATCTTGCAGTGTTCATTTTTTCAGCTTAATTATCTTCTCTTTCTCTCTCTGTCTTGTCTTTCTCACTCCTGCTTCTGTGCTAATAATACATGTCTTTTTCTCTCTAGAAAATGATAAAAGGTAGAAGAAGAAGAGGGTATGGAGATATTTTGGAGATGGAGATGGGTTTGAATTTTGAACAGAAATGGAGGGGTGGGAAGGTGGCATTTATTAACCTGCACACTTTACCCACTTTTGTTTTACCTCTTTTTTTTTTTTTTCTTTTTTTCTTTTGTTTTTTCTTTCCCTTTACAATCATTGTATTTGGCTTTCTGTTTCTTTAAGGAGAAGGACAGAGCCAGACTCTAAATAAAGGGGTGTTTGGTGTTGGTGTTGTTAGTTAGAGTTGGTGTTGAACATAGTGTGAAATTCAATGATGGAAATTAAAGAAAATTAGCTTGCTTAGCTACCAAAAGTACCACATATATATATAATGTATTTATGAAAAGGTGTAAAAAAATTAATTACTAACACCAAAGTTTGATGATGGGACCATGCGCTATGCACCATGTCATTCAGAATCATACTCCCAATAGTTACATCGGTGTTATTTTATTTTTACTTTATTAATTCGATTACGGAAAAACGGACACCCGAGATGTCTTGATCGGATTCATCTTTGTTTTGAGGTATATTCCTTGTGATTAAAACAATTCATAATTTAATTAAAAGTGAAATTGTCACAACAACATTTGAGTTGAGTAATTATATTTAAATCTATTTCTAAAGGAAATAATTTGACCTAATTAATTATTACCATCAGGCGTTTTAAAGTGAATTATACGAAAGATCTACTTTAATGTATATGAAAATTATAAGCGGTAACTTAGAAAATCATTTTCTTTATAGATTTGATTTTTATAATTATTGTAATGAATCTTTTCTTCTAAATAGAAATTGTATTTATTTACAAAAGTTAGCTAGGTAGTTAATAATTTGGTCTTGCAAAAATGGAACCTGAATTTGTTTTTTTTTATTTTTTATTTTTTAAAAAATAAGATTTCGCCTGTAATATGATGACTGTAAAAGCTCCTTGTTTCAGATGGCCATTGTGGAATTTAAACGTAAAATAAAAGTCATTGTTGGTAGAGTTGTAAGGGAAAATAATAAAAAAAGAAATAAGAAACAAAAAAGCACACCTGTCAAAAGTATATGATAACTTCAATAAATTCATTTATACTTTAGTTGTTGTCACCACAATTAAAGGAGAACTTACTTTTGAGTGGGCATGAGCTGGTTTTGTTTGGCTCCACAATTAAAGCTAATCTTTCTCTTGGTATGAGAATGTTTAAAATACAATTTTATTTTTAAAAAGTATTTCAACGTCTTAGCTTTTGAAAAATGAAGACCAGTATGCCTCACAAATGAGCACATTTACAGGCTTGCACATTTGGTAGGCAAATTTGCTGGAAAAAAAAAAGAGCAAATTGTTTTCTCTGTAATGAGATGCCTAGAAAACAGCGGCGACTTTAATACTGGGCCATTAAGGCCTTTGCTAAAAGCCTTGTCCAGAAATAAAGGCCCTTAGAGAAATATCTTAATAAGATTTCTCCGCTACATTAGGTTTTATTTATTTAATGTATAATGTACTCTTCAACTTATTATTTTTGAATTAAAGTACCTTTTCATTGTTTTTAAGAAATATTTTGTATATCAACTAGTAAGAAGAATAAAAATATATATTACTTACCAAAAAAAAAAAAAAAACAATTTTATATCAAATTTCTTTTTAAGGGTAGGTGTTAGACCAAGAGGGGGAGGGTTGAATTGGTCTAAGTACTTTTCTTCTCATTCTTTTGATTCATCATTAAGCATTCAATTCAAATACAAACAATACACAACCATCCACAAGTGCATAAGGAATTTACAGGAAAACTCTCATAATATGGAAAAACCCTGGTTCTTGGCCTCAACCAATAAGATATTCACTAGTTGTATGCAAGTAGTTACACACTAAACTGTCTCACACTCTGCACACCCCCTTGTATAAGTTAAGACACTAGTTTTCATAACATTTACACACATACTAGCTCTACTAAGTGCATACTGCACTCCCCCTATCCACAGCACCCTTGCTTAGACCCAATGAGCTCTCTCAGCTCACCAAATACTAAAGAATGTACATATCAATATAGTACAATGGTTGTAACATAAGATTAGAATCACAACACAACTCAAAGTACAAAGAACTAGAAACCCTAGCTCACACAGCTTTATAATCAATGGGATATAACTATCAAATCACAATGCAGCTTCAATAGTAGCTCACACAAGGTTTCACAGCCTTGTTATAACCTTATACACTTACTTAAATGAAGTACACAATTAGATACGCAAGGTAACATAGTGAAAGTACTCAACAGGCTCAAACCCCAAATATGAGGGTAGTAGAATAGTCACTTCACAATATAACTTCAATTCTGCAATATCCCTAATTTTAAAAGAATAGTTTTGGTATTATTTTCAATATTTTAATTGCATTTTTATTTATTTACTTAATTATTTGGTTATTTGATTACGTGTTTAATTGAATTGGTTAATTAAATATTTTATTTGATTAAATGTTTTATTTGACTTAACTGATTAATTGAAAGTATGTGCTTGAATATTATTTAAATTAGTTGATTTAATTGATGTGTTTTGTTTATTTGTAATTAATTGTAGATTAAATAATTAAATATTTATTTTGTTTTATTTTATGGATATGGTTAGTAATAATGAACCAACCAATTGGGTCATATGGACTACTTGGATAAGAGGTTTAATGGATAAGGATAATTACCCATGAATAGTTATATATATATATATATATATATATATATATATATAAGGAAAATAATTTATTAATTAATATTATTGTGACTTAGTATTAATAATCTGATATATATATTATTATATTTGTATAATAAAGATATACATATATTATATACGTAACATATTTTTAGTTGTCCATGAATAGTTATATATATATATATATATATATATATATATATATATATATATATATAAGGAAAGTAATTTATTAATTAGTATTATTGTGACTTAGTATTAATAATCTGATGTATATATTTTTATATTTGTATAATAAGGATATACATAGATTATATACGTAATATATTTTTAGTTACCTATGAATAGTTTTATATATATATATAAAAGGAAAGTAATTAATTAATTAATATTATTGTAACTTAGTATTAATAATCTGATATATATATTTTATATATTTTTATAATAAGGATATACATAGATTATGTAGGTAATATATTTTTAGTTACCTTTTTAATATTTTAATTTTATTATTTTCTTTTATTAAGTTGACTTGGATTGAAAAAAGTATTGTGTTATTTTATTTAGCTTATAAATATATAAATATAGATTAGTAAAAGGGGGCTAGAAATTAAATCACATAGTATATTTTGGAGGAAAAAGGCAGAGAGTTTAGAGAGAGAAAGAAAGAAGAAAAAGAAAGAAAAGAGGAAGACGGAGGTTAGGGTTTTTATCAAAATCTTTAAGGTAAGTTCTTTTCTTCTTTTCTTCTTTGATTCAGATTATATACATGCTAGATTAGTTCCAGGATTAATTAATTAAATTAATTGAACTTATTTGCATGATTAAAAACTGAAATTACAATGTATGTATATGTGTAATGGGTTTGTGTATATATTTGGTAATTTGGACAAATTGATGCATGATGTGTGTTTACAATATGTTATTAAATCTGTTTTAAAGATTTTTAAATTATTAGATTAGATTTATGGAGGATTTTAAAAACATGATTTAAGTACACATGTTAAATATGAAATTTAACTAATTTAAAAGGTTAAATTAATTAAATATGGTTGGATTAAATTATTTTAATCAATTATTTGGTTTTAAATAAATTTGATCAGATTGTGGGAGAGTACAATTATTTGAAATGTATGTTAATTTTTATGAGATAAATTCAATGCATGCTACTTAGAATTGTTACATTTTGCTCAATTAAATGTAAAGGAATATCTGTATGATTTATATCATGTTATGTATGAATTTATTTGATGTGATATTATAACTGTAGCATCATTTATGGATTGTATGCATTATATGTACCAGTATAAGATAGTAACATATTAGGGACGGATTAACTGAACACGTTAAGTCATACATATTCATGTATAACGAAATGGATTAGTTAAAATGTTAAATCCTACATATTTTCATGTCAGGTCAACTGAATTAGTTGGATGACATATCAGATATTTATTTTATGTTTGGATAGGACAGATTATATATATATCATCATATGCCATGATATAAGCTTGAGTTTCAGGATCATGGTTAGGGTGCGTATATTGCCAGGGATGTGTAGCTAGATATAGTGTAGTTGTGAACCTTGGTAGGTCTACGTACTCATGCCTATTATATGTGCATTTTGCATGTTGCCTACTATTTAGGTTGAGACAACCTTTTTATCTAGTGAGGTTCCTTTAGTGTGTATATATATATATACAGACTGTGTAGTTATTGTTGGATTGACTAGGATGTATATGAGTTCTGAGTCTCTGTTTGGGATGTAATAGATTAGAACTTGTTTGTGGGCCTGACCCACCATTATTTTTTAAGTGTTCATTAGTTCCAGACTTAGGGATTGTTCGTGCCTAGCAGAGACGATCAATTCACTCCTCTGACTTAACGTAGGATTTCCTTCTTTATGTTTTAGTTAGATATTATTTATTTTAGTTTGGATTTTAGATTAGGGGTCCACATGATCGATTTTTGAGTATTAATTTTAATTAATTACTGGTATAAGAGGACTTAGTTTATTGGAGGTTTATTATGGGATTAATTCATAGGGATTTTATTATTTAGTTTCTTTCAGCTATTATTTTTTATTCTTAAATCTATTTTGTATTCTATGCTTGTTAAATATTTTAATTGTTTAATATTCCCTCGGGTTTGGGCTTGGGCTTGATTAACCCATGTCTCAGAGTCGAGGGGTATCACAATTGGTATCAGAGCACTCTAGGTTCATTGTATTCCTTTACGGTCCGCGTAGCGTATTCTTTTGTTTAGAGCTTAAGTTTAGGATTCATTGTATTCCTTTATGGTCCGCCTAGATCACTCTGACATCTATCTTTCTACGTTAACAAAATGGTTAACACTAGAAGAAGATGGGACAATCAGAGAAACAGGCAGCGAAGAGGAGCTACATAGGCAGCAGAATCTCCTACGATGTCAGCAAGTTGCAGAAGAGCAACCACTGCAAAGGTTTCAGGAGGAGGGTGATCAGTTGCATATCGAGCAGAAGGAAGTACAGTAGACTCAAGAGTCTCAAGATCGGGG